GACTTTTCCAACCAGAAAGGAATATAAATCAAGTAAGTAGCTGAAATATTTAGCAAATTAAAACTTCAGGAAACTTTGGAAAGTGTTGGCTTTTGCTGATCTTTTTTATCCAATCCTCTTTAGTTTGCATTAGGATTTTGCAGTTCTGATCTTATCAGAGTAATCAATGATACTAATGGTGAAAGACACAGGGGAGAGCTGTACTTTGCGATGACAAAGTAAAATAAATTCCCTCTAGCTGAGACATGCACATATCCATGTAATTTTGGCGGTAATATGGAAAATCTTTGCCATGGTTTTTTTCCAGGGTGCTTTTTTATTTTACTTGTTTGTTTGTTTTTGCCTTCTTAATTTAGCCTAGAGTTCTGAGATTACCTAGCAGTTGCCAGTTCAAATACTGTACTAAGTAGATCTGATTCTCCTTACATTTTTTTTTTTTTTGTGGGGGTAACTCTGTCAAGATTAGCTATGTACGGCTACCAATTCAGCCATAATGAAGAACTTGTGCAGTTATAAATGCTGAAGCACAATTGGATAAAAGTGCCCAATTCTATTTCAAACAAATGTATACATGGGTCTTCAACTAATTATTGTTCATAAATCATTTTGAAAAGCAGCCTTTCACTGGACACATTTCAGTAATCTAATATGTAAATTGTAGTTTATGGTACACCAGCCTACAGTAGCAACTAGCACTTCATGCCTAAGAACAACCTACACATCCTGTGTAATCTTACTTTTTCAGGGAGAATGTAGCACAATCTCTATAATGTGTTCAGATGAATTATAACACCCGCCAATAGTACTTGTGGATGTAGTGGTTTGAGTTTCTGTTGATTGATTTTTATTTAATCCATGGATAGACAATCCATACAGACACACAAATAATGTATAATTGTATCAAGAACTGCATTACTATGTCCAATTCTTCCTAGCTGCTAATTACACCATAGAAGTGATTTCATTTTATTTACATCTTGTCCTCCTCTTAGAATAAACAGTCTTTTCTCTGAATTGAGAAACAGGAAAATCAGGTTTAAGCTTCTTGCAAATTATGGCAAACAATTGTAGATATGCTTCAGAAAATGGAACTGACAAGGAGATTCGCTAAGCCTTTTACATTATTTGTATGCACTCTGGTGTATGAAGAAAGGCTACTGTGTGTTTCATTATCTTTGTAATAATTTAATGTGAGAAAAACTAGCATTTTGGTGCATTCTTAAAAATTCCTTTGATGGTTATATTATTTCCCGTACTAAAAGACAGAATCCAATTTTATATTTGATTTCTTAAAAAGGAAAGATGGGTGAATCAGTGCAATTGACTACCAGATAAGTACATAGGAGATTAAAAGTTATTTTGACCAATCTGCTGCAGGGTTTATCACTTATTTTACATCAATTCAAATAGGAATGAAGCTGTTAGATACAGTCTGCAGCATGGACTGCAAGAAGTTTCACATATGCTGCTAATGATTGTATGTATACTTAAGCAATGATTATGTTCATGTAATACATTCTGGTTTAGGACAATGAGAAAAACCAACCATTGAATAGCAGCGGTTCTTCAGCATTCTGGAGGGGATTTTTTCTCATCTCTCAGCAGGGACTGCTCTTGGAATCTCTGTTGCATTCAATTACACTCTGCCGTTGAAGTATGTTTTTAATATAAGTCCAGCTGCATGGGTTTAGGTTTCTCTTGTTTTCCAGGAAAACCTGTACTAAAGAGCTAGGGTTTTTTCCATAGGTTTTTTTTTTTCCTAGTTCACAAAATCAGATTATTTGAAAGCGTGTTCCTGTGTTAGTATAAGAGAGTGCAAATAGCTTTTGGACTGAAAGAGGTTGGCAAAGTGTATTTCTTGTGGGTGATGGATGTGGATGATGGATGACTTTAGCATTTTGTTTTTCTGGCTTTGCTGTCTTTTCCCTGTTGGCACAGGTGTTATGCAAGGATCATCTTATAATGATTATGTGATGATATTTTGTGTTTTGACAAGTTGCTTAGTATATAAGCTATTTTGAGACTTCATGCTATCAAATTAGGAGTTAAGGGACAGTCAAGTAGGAAGTTACATAACCGTCTCCCTATATTTTTGCTTAATGAAAAACAGATGCTAGATTGAGAGGTGCTTTACTTTTTTCTCACCCTCTTCTTGCTCAGTCACACTTATAATCAGAGCCTTTTTTCACATGATTCTGTATGATCATGTAGGTAATACAGTTTTGGCTTAGCATGCTACAGTAGTGTTTAAAAGTTTGTGAGCCTTTTTGAATATGACCTATTCTCATTAATGAACTATTACAATGATTTTGATGCATTTGGGACTCATGTGAAGAACAGATCATGTGTTAGGTAGTATTTATACAGAAATCTTGAAAATTCAAAAGGGTTTACAACCTTTTAAGCACCACCGTATGTGGTTTGCAAACCATGATTTATGAGTTAATTCTTGAATTTACAACATGACTCTCGGGGCCACAAGGCTCCACATCAACTTTCTGTATTTTTAATTTTTCTAAAAAGTGAATCTGACATACTGCAAAGCTCAGCCCCAATCTCTATCATCACCTTTACTTTCAAGAATATCCGAGCCCCAGATCAGCTTCACGAGCTTGACTGGAAAGTAAAAGCTGATGGCCGCAAGTCAATTTTTAGTTTAGAAATATTAAAGAGTCAACTTTGAACTCATGTTATAGGTAAAATTACTGCTAATGGGGACATTTTAATTAGAATGCTCCTTGTACCCTTTGGATATTCCTGGTATAGTAAATGTCTATGGAGATTCTCAGTCATCCAGATCATGGTTGCCCCAAAGGTGCTTTTCAGAAGGCAACTGGACTTTCTTGGGGTTTTTCCTTTTCCTTTCCCTTTTCATCCATGAAGCTTCTTCAGCCCTGGTATAATCTCACATGCACGCTCAAAACAGGAACATAGGAAGAATAGTTGGAAGTGGAAGTGGGATCCACAGTTGTGCAAAGCCTTCTTTCATATTACAAATAGATGTCTACCCCAAAGCAAGCTGCACCAAATTTAATGGAGCAGATGTCTGGATAAGTATTCCACATGCTCCAAGATCCTGAAAAATGTATTTGAAAGTCAGATCACTTCTTTCTCAGAAATAGTTTTGTGTTTTCTCCTGCCCCCAGAACTTCCTCCCTCTGGGCATGAGAAATGCTTGCAAGGCCACTGGAGTTCATGAGTTATTTGAAGGATGAACATCTCTCTTGCAATTTTCTGTACAGGTAATCCTCAATTTACAACAGTTTAGTGACCATTCAAAATTACAACCGCTCTGAAAAAAGTGACTTATCACCATTTTTCACACTTATGGCTGTTGCAGCATCCCCGTGGTCATGTGATCAAAATTTGGATGCTTGGCAACTGGTTCATATTTATGATGGTTGCAATGTCCCAGGGCTATGTGATCTTTAGTGAACTTTTGATAAACAAAGTCAATGGGGAAGCCAGATTTACTCAACAACCAGGTTACTAACTTATCAAATGCAGTGATTCACTTAACAACTATGGCAAGAAAGATTGTAAAATGGGCAAAAGTCACTTAATAAATGTCTTGTTTAGCAACAGAAATTTTGGGCTTGATTGTGGTTATAAATTGAGAATTACCTGTACATTTAAGGGGCAGCTCTTGGGGCATTTCACATTTTCATAGTATGCTGACACTATGCTGGGTTTAGAAATAAACATGAGCTGAACATCCTAATTCCTCCAAAATAAATCTGCATAGCTGACCTCAAAACTACAAAGCTAATAACATTGTTTCCTGTCCTTCTAATAATGTATTTTTCATTCTTTCATCTGATTTTTAGGTTGGATTTACATTTCATTTATCCATAGTTTAATTAATCATGGAAATAAACTATAATTAGGCTCAAAGAAGTTTTCAACTATTAGAAATCTTTGTATTGATGACTTTGACAGCATGCAGTGAGTTTCCCTTCAATCTTTAGCAAAAGAAAGTTTTAACTACTAACTTCAAAAATTTTTGAATAAGCAGGAAAAGGGTGATTAAAATTTTAGAAAGTTACAAATGGACTAAAGTCCAGATGAATTTGAAATAAGATTTTGGAATTGTAAAGAACTCTTCCTGTGGAAAAATGCCTGATTTTAAAAAAAAATAGAATAAGATTTTAAAAATTGGACACAAGGAATTCAAAGATTACAATGAAAAGACAAGACATGAACTTGATTAGAATTACAGAATGGAACAAAATATTCTAACATTGGACATATTGAAGGTATTTTTTTGGGGGGGGGAAAAAGGATTCTGATGTTAATACTGTCAACAGAGGCATCTGAGATACTGTACTTAAAAGATGTTATGGAAGAACAAGTTCTGCCTGACAGAGTTGAAAGTGGATTTTCAAATGATGGGCTACAAGAACAAGATGTAAAAAGATATTACTTTAGATCTATAAAAGAAACCAGCTGTTTTAATAATTAAAAGGATATAGAAATAATAAACCAAAATAGAAACAATAAACCAATATAGGTAATTTTCCTATATTGAGTTTACAAAAGACGCTTGTTAAAGTTTTGAAGAATCTCTTGTCAAGGGACAAACATGGACTTTTGCTGACACCAGGAGTGTAATGATGGTGCTTTATGGATTTGTATATAGGTAAGGGACGGGATATGGAAAAAGATCATTTGTATTTTAAGAGATAATAAGTTAGTAAAATGTTTATTCTTGTGATGTCATTTTATTTATTTTTTATCCTTAGTTTTCTATTTTCTCCTTTTCTTTCTTTTCTGCACTTGTACTTTCTTCCTATTCTTTTAATTTGTGTTAGTTTTTACACTCTGTGAACCAAATCCTATGTGTGGCCCATAGCAGGCTACATTTATACTATATAATTGTTTTTTGTCATTTTGATTCTGACAATCTTACAGAAGTTTCTGGAATAGAAACTCTGGTCATTATTTTTATAGGAACAGAAAATAATTTTCAATGGGGTAAGAAGAAACAAAGGTCCTCAAGATACTTTTCATAAAGTTTATTATTTAGTTTTTATTCTGGTTTTGGCTGCATATTGTTAACATATTCTCTTACATGCCCACACCCACAGATTCTCCCCCTCTCAAAAAAGTATAGTAAATCTAAATTCTTGTACAGTAGTGCCCTCTGGTGGTTCACATACCAATTCAACACAGCTAGCAATATTTGGGAATAAAACTTCTATTTTGAATATCCTTAAGATTTTACAAATCAGAATCCCTTGATTCTACAAATTATCTACAGAAATTGACAAGGATTTAGTTAGAAATGAATACTCCAACTACAGAAAGTTTTCCATGATGGTAAAGACAAATGTAATTTCATCGGTCTTTGGAAGTATTGGTTTTCTTGCGTCTAGTGTGATACCTAAATGAGAAAAAAACCCAGAAGATATATTAAGTTAGTATCTCAGACACCAAGTAATTTAAATACTTGTTTTTTAAGAGATTAGGAGCGTTATTAACAGTTATGTTTGAAAACATTATCTTTATAAAAGAAGACTGTAGACATGTTCTATTTATCCAATAATTAAACCATGTTTTGTGCAGTTTCTTCAATCATGTAACAAATCTTCTATTGTTTTGGTTCAAGGGCAAAAGTAACTCCCAGCTGTAGAAGGATTCCAAATACTTTTAAAATCTGAACACTGCTTGGAACATTCACAGGGGCAGAGGTTCACCAAAGCGTACCCAGCACTATTCCTACTTTCACCTAAATTTCTGGTAGGAAAAAAAGGAACCAGATTTTCCTAGTTATTTCTAGACTTTCTAGATAATGGAATTCTGTTATCTGTCTTTCTGGTTATGTTGTTAAAGTTAGACTTCCATGTCAATACTAAATTAGTTTTTTTTAAAAAAAAAACAAACTGTGGTACCAAATTCAAAGGGAATTGTGGTGGATTGTACCGATCCAGAGTCCTACAAGGGAGGCTGTGCATTCCAAAGGAGTTAAGAGACAACTCAATTCAGATAGTTTGTGTGAGAGAAAGAGAATGAAGAGAGCCCCTCCTAATAGTTCCCAGAGTATAGGTTTGTATAGCACAGTGCTTTAGTTTGGCAAGATTCTGTCTAGAGGTAGTGAATAATAAAGAAATCTGCTTGATGAATCACCAAGTGTCTTTTTTTAAATTCTGAGGGCCTGACAGGAACCTTGCTCATTCTAAGCATAAAAGTACAATATGAATACATCCTATTCAGTACCTTCTTGATCTTTCTTGCACACAATAGAAATCCATGACACACCTAAAACTTCCTCAAACTATGTCTCATCTAAAACTGTATATTGCTTTAAGAGCATATGATTGACACCAGGGGTGGGTTCTACTTACCTTTACTACCAGTTTGCAACGGGGCTGTGCGCGCATGTGAGCGAAGCGAGCGTGCTCTTCTGCGCAAGCGCAGAAGCATTTTGGTGATGTCGGGGTCGGTGGGCAGAGCCTCCCGCCGGTTTTAGTACCGGTTCTATAGAACCGGTGCGAACCAGGGGCAACCCACCACTGATTGACACCAAGACATTTAGAATGCATCTGACGCACATCAACTGGGCTACAGGTGTATCAACCTCTCAAGGAAGTACAGGCCCTAGTCACATGATACTTTTTCACTACTTCCACTGGGAAGCAATTTCATCAACAGGTATTTATTGACCCAGTGGCTTATGGAGCAAAATGGTCCACTAAGCAATAAATCATAAATATTTATTCTTAGTTCCAGTCTGGAACTTTAGATGTAAAACTAAACATTCTCCAGAATATATTTCTCACAAAATTTGCTAGTGAAGCTATTCCTAGGCAAATGTAACTCTTAGGAAGAAAAGAACTGCATGCACATTTTCTATGAGGTTATCACATTCCTAAGAGAATTCCAAGATCTGAAAAGAAATAAAAAGCAAAGTATTTGCACAACATAGTCCTCCTACATTTTAGAAAATGCAGAACAGTAGCCAGACTTTCTGAATCCAAAGAAAGGTACACGGCTTTAGTAAAGGCAAATAATTTTGTACCTTTAAAAAAAAAAAAACACCTTTGAATTAGAAGAAAGAGCAACGAATGGCATGGTTTAACTCAGGGGTGAAATGCTCCCAGTTCGGACTGGATCACCCGATCCAGTAGCGATAACTAAAATTCAAGCAAAAATTCCTGAACCTCCTCCATGCCCAGCTGAGCCGCACGATCATCAGAGGTTGTTTTTTTTACTTTTAAAAACATTTTTTCTACAACCTCTGGCCGAAAAAATGCTTTTAAAAGTAAAAAAAAAAAGCCTCTGATGATCACGCGGCTCAGCTGGGATTGTCAGAGGCTTTTAAAAGCATTTTTTCTATAACCTTTTTGACCGAAGATGATGTAGAAAAAATGCTTTTAAAAGCCTCTGATGAAAAAAAAAAAAGTTGGCCACGCCCACCAAGTCACATTAGCCCACCACCACCAAGCCATGCCCACAGAACCGGTAGTAACAAATTTTACATTTCACCACTGGTTTAACTTCTAAAAACAGTTAATTAAGTCTTGAATCTAAATGTCAGAAGTACTGCTGATATAAATGTTTACTCAGCATAACATGTTCCCAATTTTCTTCAGCATTTAGACATTTGGTAAGAACATTTCTTGAGCCAATGTAGTGTACTTTTCATCCAAGATGCATATGCAGTTATTTTCAGTTTTGGTGCAGTGGTTAAGGTGCTGGACTAAGACCATAGAAATAGTTCAGATTCACCCTCAGCCATGGAAACTCATTCAACCTCCTTAATCTACCTATAGGGTAATCAGAAGGACAGAAATGTGAGGAACTATGAGTGCTGTGTGTGTTCCAGGCTCACACAGAAAAAAAAAATCTGGCTGCCTTAATGAGTAGGAGAGAAACACTCTACCCATGCAAACTCCAAACACTTCTCTATCATTTCCATAGAATATATAAACCTAAGGGTTGAATCCTTGAACCCTAATAAGTCAATAAATGCAGACCAAACCTGTGATGAAGTTCAACTGAGTTATGCACCAGGAAAGAACCTGAAGTATTGTAATTCATCCCATTTTAATTTTACAATTGATACCTTCAGAAATACTTACTGTCCCACAGGATACCAGCGATGTTTGGTTGTGTAAAACATTTTACTAAGTGCCTCAATTGTGGGCTCATCCTTGTAATCTTCCTTTTCTTCTAATTTAGATTTCAGGACTTGTTCATGTGTTTCTTCTTTATAGGTCACAGGGTCTAGTTGTGGAATGGGCTGTCAAAGTATATGTTATCCAAATTAAGAAATACAACTAAAAGTTTATTTCTCCAAAGAGATTCCATTTACTAACACTACACACCTAGATGAGCTGGCACTATTTGACTGTAGTACAGTTAATAGAGGCTAGGAATACAAGACAGCAAAACTATTAATACTAATATACACCAAGGAAAGTTTTGTAAAAAGCATTTCTAATAAGATCTTAATACAAGGACTTTTTACAAGACTTTTCTTAGTGTGTATAGTTAGCCTAGCATCCTGTTTCCATCAACAGGCAGCCATATTTCTCCAGGAGGTTTACCTGCAAAGCATAAAGACAGTGCTGACTTTCTCACTGTTTCCCTCCATAACCACGTATATCCAGCAATATGCTGCTTTTAAATCTGGAAGACTTGCTTATCGTCCTTGCCTACTCCCTTTAATCTATGATCGTCAATAATTACATATTTTGTGGCACTGAATTCATAAGATAACTGTGTGTGAAATAAAAGTATTGTCTAAATGTTATTCCAACCAATATTAGAATCACTGACTCCAAACTTTAGAGAGGGAGCTTCTACAACTGTACTCTAGGTAATCCATAATCAATGAAAGCATTTACACCTTTAAAATGATCCTCAACAATATTTAAGGTTAAAGTCAATATTGTACTTCTTCTAAATAGTACTGAGATTACCAGGACACCATTTTCCCATTATGTGACCTGAATGTATTTTTGTCATCTATTTGAAGGTAGCTCAAAGTATCTGAGGTAATCCATTAATGTAATTTTGCTACCTCCTGTATTTACCTTTTATGATCTTACTTTGTAAATCACAGTTATATTATGGTATAATACCCAACAACATATATATGAGGAAGATTACCTAGGCCTAGTAACAATTTTCAGGAAGATACAATTTTCAGTAACTTACTTTTGTATGTTCATATGGAATATCCACTGAAGGGTGATAGCAAACAATTGTCTTTCCATCTGATGTCATAGCAAGTTCAACTTTGCTAGAAAATAAAGCAGACGTCAACATTCCTGCCATTTTAAGAAGATGGCATTGGAGATAATGCTTTAATTAAAATTTATGGAAAATATACTAAACAGTAATTATTTTGAATGACACCCATAAACTGTAAAATATTTAACTAAAAGACACAAGATTAAAAATTGCCAAAATATATTCAATAACAAAGTATTTTAATAAACATAAAAAAACCAAACAAGCAAACATGCAATACATAAACTGCATAGGAGCTAAAACTGGTATTTGTAATCTAAAGACAACAAAATTTTAAACGCCCATATTCAATATTTCTGTGGGACGGATGAACTGCCTGCATGAAGACATGATAGCCAGAGGCATATGCCCCACTGATGCTGCAGACAAAGTGGTGGGTAAATGCAAAATTGTGTACCCCGCAATATGATGGAAATAACACAAAGAACAAGATGATTCAATATTTCTTTGAAAACTTAATGAAAGTAAGTATTTGGTACTTCTACAGTAATATAACTAAAAATGGAGATCAATTGTGTATAAAACATTTGAAGGATTATTCAAGATTTTTTGGCACTTGTGTCAGTTTTCTAGCCAAATTTCCCAGCACTCTTGAGTTGCTTCAGAACAATATACAGTATATTTCAGTTCAGGAGATATGGTAATAGTATGTTAGCTTGCAAACTGGACCATACTGGCTCTACCAGGCCTGTTTATATTCTGTCCCTAATATATAAATTTGCAGAAAGGCTAGAGAATTTTTTTGTGAACCAACTTCTAGAAACTCTGCAAATAGCACCTCTCTTTCATAATTAAATAACAGTATACATGCAGAAACAGCTGAAGCAGTTTACAGAACAAAAAAAAAAGACATGTGCTTTGTATGCTCTTCCACATATTGTGAATAATTCTTTTGCAGGATTTGCAGTCCTAGTCGATAGTTATTTCACTGTTTAAATAACCTTTATGAAAAAGCTGCTATTCTTATCTGTTTAGAAATTAAAATAATATACATTATTAATTAGTTAAACCTAATCAATGTATCAGGCTGGTTAGTTTAAAACAAAGGCACACACCAGTTTTTGCATTTGTCTTCAACCCACACATAAGACAAGGGAGTTGCAGTGTACTGGGGATATCGTGATGGCATACCGTATGAAACTCAATTACCAGCCCATTCAGTACAAACGTTAGCATCTAACAGTCTTTGTAAATTAATAGTGATAACATGTAGAATAGTTAATACTTGCCAGTTATAGTCATCAGGAAGTGGTGAATATGTAGATTTGGGACAGGCATGAAATACTGCTGCATCTGCAAATACAGGAGCTAAATAGTATAACAGAATACACACCAGACTGTCAGTCTCTTAACACTGTGGGAATGAAAATACCACCAAGGTTATATATTGTAGTGCTAATCTAGTGGTTGATGATAAATTTAGGGGTTTTCACTCTAGCATAAATCCAGTTGTTTCACTGTTCAAAACTTTAAATCAAATTGCAACTTTGAAAGAAAAAGCAAAAGGACTTCTTTAGGGCAGTTTTATCCAACTTGGTGTTCTCCAATATTTTGGATTAGAATTCTTATAATCCTCAGTTTTGGTACCTTAGAATAATGGGAACCGAGGAGGGCTGATTTAGAACATACAGAAAAGGGTGAGATGGGGAAGGGATATAAATGTTCATGGACATTTAAGGCAAGACTACATACATTGGAAATCCAAGCCCGATCCGGTAGCGATGGCAGTGGGTGGTTCGGAGAACCAGTAGCAAAAATCCCTGTGCGCCCACCATGCCCAGCTGAGCCGCACGATCATCAGAGGCTTTTTTTTTTACTTTTAAAAGCATTTTTTCTACAACTTCTTCCGCCGAAAAAATGCTTTTAAAAGTAAAAAAAAACCTCTGATGATCGCGTGGCTCAGCTGGGATCTCAGAGACTTTTAAAGCATTTTTTTTCTGCAACCTCTTCAGCGGAAGAGGTGGTTAAAAAAATGCTTTGAAAAGGCTCTGATGATCCTAGCTGTGTTCTTGATCGGCAGAGGCTTTTCAAAGCATTTTTTTGCATTTGCAGAAAAAAATGCTTTGAAAAGTTAAAATAAAAAAAGTTGGCCACGCCCACCGTCACATTACCCCCCCCACACACACACACCAAGCCATGCCCACAGAATCCGTAGTAACAAATTTTACATTTCACCCCTGCCAACAAAGTTCTTTTTCTGTTCATCTGCTATCCCCACAGTTGCCAGTGAAACTGCATTATTTGTTCCTCCTGGGAATTTATATTTCTTATCACTCAAAATACCATTATATTTCCTTATCCATGAATATACAGTAGGTAGTCAATTTACAATCACAACTAACACTGGAAATTCTGTTGCTAAGTGGTTGTTAAATGAATCTTACACAGTTTTACCTTTTTAGCCCATGGTCATTAAGGGAATCATGCAGTTGTTAAGCAAATTTGGCTTTGTCCTATTGATTTTACTTGTGGAAATCCCATGGGAAAGTTGCAAGTGGTAATCATGTAACCATGGGACACTGAAAGCCTCATAAATATGTGCCACTTCCCAAATGCCCAAAGGTTGATCATGTGACCACAGGGAGATTGTGATGATTGTAAGTCACTTATTTTAATACTGTCATAACTTTTGTTATGTTGACAACATAAACAGTTGTTAAGTGAATGGTCATAAGTCAAGGACTACCTGTAAAGACATTGACAACCAAGCAAAGATCAGAAAAATAGAACTGTTTCTTCTTGCATAAATTGAATACTATTACTGAATAGAAAAGGGCTTAATCAATTTTACATTGAAGTCAATTCTTTCTGTTCCTACCCAAGCCAAGTAACATAGTTTTATGGTGGCAACATCCTTGTCTCTTGAGCAAAGGAAGGCCACCACATGGAGGATTATCAGATGGCCAATATCTGACATAATGTTCATTTTTTCAGAAAGATTGAAATGGGCTGTTGATTTCTAATGTAAGGTCACTATTCTCCTGGCCACAAGAAGCAGTATTCTAGTATCCAATTAGCTAGTAACACAGAGAATGCACAGTGCTTACCTGTTAGCAAAGGCTTCCTGATGAAAGTTGCCAAATGCAAAACAGACTTCCTTGAGGCTGTGGCCATGGTAGCTGGTCAAAGAGTGGAATTTGGAGAAATCAATTCAGGTTTCATTCTTGTTTGAAAGTCAGTTCATTAGCTTAAATATGTTAAGTCAATAACAATTACTCCAGTATTTCAACAGCTGTTCCATGCATTACTAGGGAGCAATTAACAATACAAAGTGTAATCACTGCCTGAGAATTCATTATTTTAATTTCATAGGTGGGAACTTCTTCATATTCACAGTCATTATTGATTATTTCATTAGTCATAGTCCTCTAAACCAACCTTAAAAATTTCCAGGTATGTGGACTTCAGTTCCCAGAATTACCATCAATGGCCATATTGATTATGGAATGTTGGATCTGAAGTCCACATACCTGGAAATTGCCATAGCTGAGAAGCACTGCTTGAAAGCCGCACATTTCCAAGGTAGAATTAGGATATTGCAAAAATAAGGAGAAACCAAGTTATATAAAGCACGCAATAACTGTTTTCCCCTTAATTTTAAACAGTTCTATTTAGTCTTTTTGTAATGAACAGTCAAAAATTGTCCCTCATTTAGTATAGCAGTATTTGTATGCCTATCATATAAATTTAACTTTTATTAATCAAATTTATATATCTGTTCATCTCATGAAAAGTGACTGCATACAAGAATCCAGTAAAACAGTGAATATATAAAACAGTCATCATCTAAAACCATTATATAATAATTATTAAAAAGCATTAAAATGATTTTTATTTTATTTAATTCTATCTTTATGTTTATAAATAACTCAAGGTGGTTAACATACCTAATACAGTACTCCTTCCTCCTCTTATTTTCCTCACAACAATGACCCTATGTGGTTCCACCTGGGCTGAGAAAGAACGATTGGTCTAAAGTAACCAAATCGGCTTTAATGGCTAAAGTGGGACACTCTCCCCCTTTTCAAGGCTAGTATCTTAACTACTAGGCCAAACTATAAAAGAAAAGTTAAAAAAGAAAATAATAGGCAGAAGATATTAATAACAAATCTGCTCTTTATCAAAATATTACTTGAATGCAACAGCTATTGATGCCATGGTGTGGCTTTAAATGAGTGCTCAAGTCTCTAGTAGTCTTTCACCAGCCCCAAAGCTAAGCAGAATTAACACAACTTGACTGCTTTTCAACATATTTCTATCACCACCCCCTCAATTCCTGTACATTCACCCTTGTTGTTCTTAGTATTTGTCCCAGTTATTTGCAGGATGCACTTGTTTTACATTGCCTAATTCTTATCAATGCATGGTGTGACATGGGGTTTTGTTTTTCAGCCAGCTTGTCATTGTTAATTAAGCTGACAGGAGATGACTGGCCCAAAGTCATTCAGCTGGTTGCCATGCCTAGGGGAGGACTAGAAGCTGGCAGAGGGGAGGACTAGAAGCTGTTAACAGTCCAGCTACACAACTGGCTCTCTCTGCATCTTTATTCCAATATGGCTTTTAAAGTTATTTAAACAAACTAATGTTATTAATATAATGCATGAACAAATAATAAAAGTTAAAATGCTACTTTAGTATTTTAAAATAGACATGGTTTTTTTTTTTTAAAAAAAAGGATTTTAAGCCAACACTGAAAAGAGAAAAAAGCGTCATTAGGCAAATATTTTAGGAAGATAGTTCCATATAGTATCTGTGGGAAATGTAAAAATTCTGACTCTTATTGCCATCCATTTAGCTTGGAGAGTAGTATCATTTGAAATTCTCATATACTATGAACTGGTTTAGAATTAAACCATTAAATTCACAAGCAGGTATATTATGAATTATAGGGTTGTAATGGTGTTACACTTAAAATGATATTTAAATTCAGTTAAGTCTACGATAATAACCTACATATTGTAAATTCCTATGCAATTAGTCTTTATAAGAAGTTGGCTTACACAACAGAGAAGGCAGAAATAACGACCTGTCTGCTAGGAGTTATTGCTCTCATTTTGCTGATTTTACTTGATTCTAGTCAGTATTTACCAATCATTTGGGGTAAAAAAAATGACCTAATTTAGTCACCAAATTTTGTGCTAATTAATCATTTAATTTATATGCCGCTAGACTCCCAGCGACTCTGAGTGGTAAATTGTGTTGGACTACGAGTGCCATAGAATGGGAGATTCAACTAGGATGAGAAGAGTGGAAGCTGCAGTCTAACACGTGGAGAATATCAGATACCAGAAGTGCCCAACTACACTATTTAAACGGCATAAGCTAAAGTTTCTATATGAGGGCGGAACTTTTGCGACAGGACAAGAGGACGTGACCAGACAGCCAAAAGTCTAATCCAGGGAAAAGAAATAACGCAGAAACGCTTACCAAACAGAGGACACCGGATCTCTATGACGTAGACGAATTCTCGGAACAACTTCCGGGAACCCCTCAAGATTCACCAAAGGACATTGGGAAATGTAGTTCGGATGAGAAGACTGTCCAATTGGTAGCATCCGGGTGTGTAATGATAGATCTTAGCACAGGAGTCTTTCCGATTAGTTTCGTTTTCATAGTTTATCAGCGCAAACTTTCCTTCCTTCTTTCATAATCATAGTCTGGTTTGCGTGGCATGGTGTGTGAAAATAGAACAGTCCAATCTCGCGTGACATCGGGTAGGACTGGGAATGATTCCTACCTGAAACTCTGGACAACTTCAGAAAGTAGGGTAGTTCTAGTATACCGCTGAAGTGTCTGATTTCTAGTTATTTGACAGTAATAATAGAAAATCATGGTTATAGTCACATAATTATCTGCCACAATGTCCTTCCTGTCAGTGACTACTTCAGCTTCAACCACAACAATACACGAGCAAATAATAGATACAAACTCAAGGTAAACCGTTCCAAACTCGATTACAGAAAATATGACTTCAGTAACAGAGTGGTCAATGCCTGGAATGCACTACCTGACTCTATTGTTTCTTCCCCAAACCCCCAAAACTTTAACCTTAAACTGTCTACTGTTGACCTCACCCCATGCATAAGAGGTCTGTAAGGGGCGTGCATAAGCGCACCAGCGTGCCTACCGTCCCTGTCCTAATATTCCTTTTTACTTACTCTTTTCATGTATTCAAATTATGTTTATACTTTTACCTGCTATCTTATATATGCTTGGCAAATAAACTTATGATTATGAAGATACTAATTCAGGATAACAGTTTACTGAATACATTAACAGTATAATTTGAATTGCTAGAATAATATAGACTAAAATTGTAATGGCTAAATTGAGGTAATTGTGTGTAAACTAGATCAACTATGATTTACTGAACCATTTAACACTGTGGTTAATTCTGTGTGTGAAATCAGCAAGTGATATTTTCCACCCAAATTCTGCTGGAATGGGGGGGGAGGGAAGCACTAAATAACTGGGTCCTAGAAACAAATGTTTGTAAGTGTGAGCTCAAGTCAATGTAATACAAAGCAATAACACATGCTTGTGTTCAGATCTAACTGCTTGTTCTTTAATTCCAAGTAGATAATTCTATAACTGGTTTTGGCTGGAGGCTCTAACTTAAACAAAAATATATTTGATGGGCTTAAAGCCCTTCTACCCTGGTAGGTAAAGTGTAAGTCAATTTCTTGACTTGTGTTTCTACATTTGGAGAAAGACATGGTGCAATTGTAAAATATATAAATTCTAGGCATCTGCAAGATTCATTCTTAGCATCTTAGTTTGGAAAAACTTAGAGCCTGAAAATCGATGTAGGCGACAAGGTTCATTTAATTTAAGTCTGTTTTGTGATCTGTTGGATCATAGGTGAACATCCTAGGATCCACAATGAAAAAGTCCTCCAAATTCAGAACCACTAATATTTTGTTCCTTAAAAATACTCAGTGGCTGAAATGGTTGGCTGGTTTCAGATTTATTTGCCAAAATACAGACTTAATATTCCAGTGCTCTCAGATATAAGAATGGAAGGATAACATTCAGAAACTGTGGTGTAAAAGGAAAAGAAAGAGGCAGTACTAGATGGGAGGAGATGGGAGGAGAAATAAGTTGGGAAATGGCACATCCAGTATTGTGGATGAGCTTCCAAAAAGTCTTGCTCAGCACACTTCCCTGCAGTGTCATTGTTGTATCTTCCTAACAGAAGCCCAGAATAAAAGCAATACTACTATAATATGTAAACATAGACCAAAAAAATATTTAACACAGTGAGGAAAGATATGGAGACAACCTGTTTTAGAATTTAGAATTACCAGAAATCATCTATGGTAGGCTGAAACAATAAAAAGAGGGTAACAGGATGTCCATAGGGATGGAGAAATAGTACCGTAAAGAAGAGGGAGTCAAGCTATTCTCCTGAAGGCAGGACACGAAGCAATGGATAGAAACTAATCAAAGAAAGAAGCAACCTAGAAATTTCCTGGCAGTGAGAACAATTAATCAGTGGAACAACTTGCCTCCAGAAGTTGTGAATGCTTCAACAGTGGAAGTTTTAAAGAAGAGATTGGATAACCATTTGTCTGAAATGGTATAGGGTTTCCTGCCTGAGCAGGGGATTGGACCAGAAGACCTTCAAGGTCCCTTCCAACTCTGTTATTCTGTTAAATAGGCCCCCTTCAGTCAGACTTCACTGGCTACCTCTCTGTGAGAGCGGCCCATGAATGTTGATGCAGGGTAATTGATATTGGTGACATGCAAGTGTAGGAAGTTAGCACCCACCCATCTCCTAGAAGAATGAAATATTCTAGGTGATATTAAAAAGGCAGAATATTATATTTTCCCTAAAGGAGAAACATGTTTCTAAAGACATAAACTCAGAGCCTCAGCTCCCTGCGCCGCCGTTCCCCCCCTGATATTTTGATGCCAACCTATCTACAAGACAAAAGGCTAGGCCAGCTTATCTACAAAACAAAAGACCTTCACCCTCAGGGCATAATAGGATTAGCCCTCTACCCATCTCACCACATGGCACCTGGGAAGATTGCACCACCCAGCAAGATTCAACCAAGCCTGGGACTCAAGACAGCCTACAAAGTTATCCCTGCATAGTGCCCTCAAACAGCCTCCATGTTTCCATTGGAACTGAACCCAGATGGACATTTCTTCCAACACAAGGATACTGAGTTTTATGTTCATGCAGTAGAAAATAAACATAACCTTTTTCTAGAAAAAAAAATTAGCTGCATTTAATTATTGACAGGGTATCTGTTCTTTAACTGATTTGCAAAAATTGTTAAGTCTATTCTACACATAGGGTAGCATTAGTAGGCAAGCTATGCTTTCTAAGTATCTGAATTTGATAAATAATGAAATTAAATCAGTCGAAGTGATCTATACTTCTTAAAAGCTTACACTTCACTAACATTTTATTACAAACCCATATTCACCCTGGAATTTATTATGAATTAAGTAAAAATTACTTTTGAATTATCAGGTATAGAATTCTATGCTAGATTTATAAACATTTTAAGATGTTTTAAATACTTTGCAGATGAGGATATCCTCTCCCTTGGTTGAGAATACAATAAAGATAAATTTATACTGTAATTATAACTGCACTTTGTATCTCTCTTATCAGCGTAAAGTTGCCTGTTGCCTTCAACTTTCTTCAAAATACAAGTGGTCCTCAACTTACAACCACAATTGAGCCCAAAGTTTCCATTGCTGAATAAGGCAGTTATTAAGTAATTTTGCCCTATTATAACATTTTTGCCACAGTTGTCAAGCAAATCACTACAGTTCTTAAGTGAATCATGCAGTTATTAGGTGATTCTGGCTTCCTGCATTGACTTTGCTTGTCGGAAGCCAGCTGGGAAGGTTACAAATGGTGTTCACATGACCCTGGGACAGTGCAACTGTCATAAATGCCAGTTGCCAAGTGCCCAAATGTTCATCTCATGACCATGGAGATGCTGCAATGGTAGTGTGAAAAATGATAAGTCACTTTTTTTCAGTGTTGTAACTTTGAATGATCACTAAACAATTGGTTGTAAGTCAAGGACTACCTGTATTCTTCAAAACATTTTGCATTATCATTTCTTTTTCCAACATCTTGTGACAAAATTGAATCAAGCAATGGTCATGAAATAATCAACTTATTAACAAGCTAAGAGGTTAAGAACAGTTTGTAGTGATGTCCATAGAGCAGGGGTGTCAAATTGGATTTTTTCGAGGGCCAGATCAGTATTGTAGTTCTCCTCCGCAGGCTGGGTGGGTGGGTGGGTGGGGGTGGGGGGTAGGGAGACGGGATAGACGCATCCTCTCATGCCATTTTCGGCCTGGACAGCTTCCTGCAGCACCTTGCTGGCCAAAATGGGGCACGGGGGGCCCTGCACGCAGCCCCCTTGTGCCCCATTTTGGCTGCCAGAGGCACCGTGGTCCAGTCCATTGCTATTTCAAGGCCGGCCCCTTAGACCAGATTTAAGCACACCCCCCCCCGCGGGCTGGATCTGGCCCGCGGGTCTTGAGTTTGACACTCCTGCCAGAGAAGAATCAAAATCTATGATAAATGTAGCATTATGTTCAAATGGGCTTGTAAAAAGGATGGGGCAAAGGTCCCAACCCATACCCACCATCTTTCAGATTTTGATATCTTCCATTTATTGTTGCTGGCAATCCTTTCTGTCTACTTAATACAAGGCAGAGCTGAGTCATTCAGGGAAAGAGTTGCAGCATTGTGACCAATGCAATGGAAATATGGTACTGTAGAATGGAGGCACTACTTTTCCCAGTATTGCTAGAGAGATTGGTGGTTTTTTTCCCTTGGATATTACTTAGGTGATGGTTTCATAATGTGGTTGCTGAATTGCATATTACCTTCTTTAAAGTAACATTGCTTTTAAGTAAAGTTGCACTCCTGGTGGCTTCATGGACATGGCTATGTCATTTTCTTGGCAACAGTACAGAACTGCTATACTGTTTACTGCTTTCTTCTGAGAGTTCTTTCTCCCTAGTCTGGTTTTTCCTGATGATCCAAATACTAATCAGGCCTGACCCCAATTAGTTTCCAAGCCCACATAAAATCAGCCAGATGCTGCTTCCTGCTAAGGCAAGACATTGTTTGCATGTCCTTCAGCAGGTATATGACCGTAGCTCAGCCTTCCCCATCCTGGAGCTGAATTAGATGCCAGAATTCTCAGTCCACATGAGAATAAATAAATAAATAAACAAATAATTATTGACATTAATTTTTTTTCCTGTACATAAAATAGTTTAACATTGAACTGTGTAGAGAAAATGTAACAATTTTCAATTTAAGCTGCTGGTGACTTAATGGGTATGTTAAAATGGCCATGTGGAAGTCCTTTGTGCTGTCATCTTCTAGAACAGGGGTGTCAAACTTGTGTCGTCATGGTGGCATCACGTGATGTATCAGGACATTTCCCCCCTTCGTTAAACTGGGTGTGGCCACCATGGCCAGTGCGTGACTCATCTGGCCCAGGGCTGGGAATTTGACAGCCCTGTTCGAGAATGTTTTTAAAACCTTGCTAGTGTAAGAGACATTTTTAGGAGAGCATCCTGGAGTAGGAAGAAGTGATTTGTAATTTTAAGACAGGATCTATAGCGAAAGAGAAACACAGATCAGCAAATAAAAGACAGATGTTTTACATTTTTTCAACATAAATTTATTTGAATTCAACTACAATGTTTAATATGGAATTGTAGCATTAAATATTAGTATCACAAAGCAACCTTCCTAGATGAGTCCTTCATAATAATACCAGGATTTTACAGCCACTGGGGGAGTAGGAAACTAGGAAGTTATTTGTGAAGGACTCCATTTCTAAGAAGGCCCCATGATCAGATAACTATCATTCCAGTCTTGGATTCAGAAGAGACACCGAAAATAGAATTGCAATTGAAATATGAAGGCATGAAAAATTTGCTTTCAGTGCAAATGCAATATGAGAACAATATTAAATTACCAATAGGCATTATGAGACAGCTGCCTCAAGATGCAAGTTTAGGATGCAGTGGAATGGCAATAGTTATGTACTGACTTTTACAGTAAGAGAAATACAGCACTGATAGCTGAACAGATGTTTGATATGATCTGCCCTTATGCACAGGTATTACATTAAATTGATGGTCTCTAACTTGTCTACATGACAACTTATGAGGCATAAGGTTATTAGATATATGAAGAAAGGAAGGACATGGAGAATTGGACAAATGGGTGGGTGGAACACACTGATTGTTTAACTTTCTTGGCATCCCCAACAAAATTGGAAAAAATTGTAATGAAAATAAAGTATTTAGATCTACACGTGTATGAAATTACTTTTGCCAGTATCAGTTTTTTTTAATTGCAGGAACGTGCTGGAGCCAATTAGTAGGCAAAAGTCTTGTATGTCCCTTCTAGTACTGATGTTATCTAATTGGATAATGAAATGTCTGCAAGAATACAATCAAACTTAGACTACCAAGGAACTCCATAGTTCAACCCTGAGCTACAAATATTCTCTTTTATTAGAACCAAATAAGGTCTTATTAATTTCAGGCAATAGGGAATCTACAAATTAAAATCACCAACCTTGTTAACTTGCCATTAGCATTCATTAGGGAAGCCTCGTGGTGAAAAGCTGATACGGAAGAGATACTGAAAAGGCCTGACAATATTTGATTTTAAGCCTGTGCTTGCTGAATGGAGGGCAGGAGGATAAAAAAATCATGTCTTCCTTTTGCCCAACTCTGATAATCCTAGGTCAGGGGTCAGCAACCTGCGGCTCTGGAGCTGCATGTGGCTCTTTTACCCCTCTGCTGCGGCTCCATCACTCAAAATATGCATCACAACCGCCAATGTGTGACACCCACCAGCATGCACTTTATTGAGTTTTTCAACCCCCAGTAGGCCAATCATGGATAAATCCAAGAAAAGAAACATTTCAGAAGAAATCAGAACATTTAATTCAACTACATATGCTAGTTTTGTGGTCGCTCAAGAAATAGTCAGGCATGGGAAAGATTTTGTGGCTCCCGGTGTTTTTTTTTTCTGTGGGAAACGGGCCCAAATGGCTCTTTGACCAAATGGTTGCAGACCCCTGTCCTAGGTGCTTAAGGATATTGATCTACCTGTGTACTGAGGGAGAACAATGCAATATTATCTTGTTGGTAGATCTAGTGGAAATAAATGTGCTTTGTTGTTGTTAGTTGCGAAGTCGTGTCTGATCCATCACGACCCCATGGATAACATTCCTCCAGGCCTTCCTGTCCTCTACCATCCTCTGGAGTCCATTTAAGCTCACACCGACTGCTTCAGTGACTCCATCCAGCCACCTTGTTCTCTGTCATCCCTTTCTTCTTTTGCCCTCAATCTTTCCCAGCATTAGGCTCTTTTTCAGTGAGTCCTTAGGTGGCCAAAGTATAAATGTGCTTAAGACAGTGTATTTGGGAGCGAGCATAACAAACTAATTTTAAAAAGACACATATTTAATATTTCCCCCATAAGCCATATTAAAATGTTTACTTTTTTGATGATCACGTGGTCCACTTAAAGGAAATCGGCTGTGCTAAACTTTATGTGGTTTGTTTAGTGTTTTATTCTTTTGTGTAAACCCAGCCAACTTTAGTTGATTCAAGCAAATAACGGTTAAACAACCATGGTTTAATCTTCAGGCAAAAAAAACAAACCCCTCATTGGATGAGAATTTTGCTGCTTTGCCTGAGGCAACAGAATGCAGAACGGCCTTTCTCAAGCAAAGAGAGACGCCTCAATGGTTCTCATCTTTAAGGGAGACTAAGAGCCGCGCCTTCTAGAGTCCTCCCGCTCAGGAAACCACTGGGTTCATTCATCCTCTCTTGCTAGCAATTGACACTACACTTCCCAGCTTGCCCCCGGAGGTGCTGCGGTGACGTTACGGGAAGTGAATCACGGGCTTCTTCCGGTAGCGCGTAAGCCCCGAGCGGAGTCGAGGTCCAGTGGAGACTATATCGTGATAAGACAAGATGGCTGGGTTGCCCCGCAGGATCATTAAGGTACCCGCTTTACTTCTCCTCTTGTCTGTTTCCTCTCCTCCCTTCCTCCCCCCCTGCGGCAGCCGGAGGCAGGCCCCGCGTGTAGCTCGTGGCCGGGAGAGCCTGGCGCAAATGCTTCGGGGGCGCGGCGTTTCCGGTGAGGGAGACAGGCAGTGGTGTCACTCCGCTTGCCCGCGCCGCTGCTGCTGCTGCTGCAGGGGGCGGGGGGGGGGGGAGAGCAGCGAGGGACCGGCGGCAGGGAACAGCCACCGCCATTCGAGGCGCGCGCTCGCTCGCGTGCGCGTATATGTGCAAAGGAGCGACGGCCGATGGGTGCGTGACGGATGCAAGGAGCGCCGCGGGCGAGGCCTCGGCACCTCAGCCTGCCGGGAATGAATGGGAATTTCAGGCGGGGAGGCTTGCACGAGCCCCCTCCCTCCCCGGCCCTCCCCTCTTCCGGACCTTTAGCGCGCGGTCCACCCGCCCCTCAGTCCCCGCCCCGCCCTGCCCTTCGTTTTATTCTGCGGCCGAAGAGGGAGGTGTTTTGATGGGGCAACGCAGGCTAAGAGATGTATGACCTGGGGCCGGGCCGGGCCGAGCCGGCAGACGGGTGGAAACGGCTCAGCTGAATTGCTTCCCCAGAGCTCTGATATGCAGCCTCTACATTCATTCGCCGCCGAAATAATTCTGCTCTTTTCTTTCCGATAAACAGCTAATCCCGGGGAGAAGTGAGCGTGCTCTCCCTTCCCACGAGGAGGAAGGAGATGGTCAGTTTAGCGATGACTCATGAGTACCTCCTTAAGGAATTGTGCTTTCCACCGCTTGCCAAATTGCCTTGCAGCTCCTTTCCCCACCTCCTGTGTTTTTGTTTGAGTAAATCCAGATTTGGATAGAAGCTAAAATATTTTAATTTGAATGCATGCATCTTATGGCGGATTCTTGATGCCTCTGTGTGTGGCATAATTCCCTTTCTGCAGAATTTAATGTAAAGTTTTAAAACCATGAAGAAAAGAAGGTGAATTAACTGTTAAGCACTCGATTTAAAATAAATCCACTTACAAATTGTCAGTCTTCTATATGTATTTTGTCATTTGTAGCATTTTGTTTTGTGTAGTTGAATATTTATGAAAATCTGTTCCGGTGTTAATAGAGCACTTATGATTTCTCTAGCTAAGAGGGGTATAGATGATTCTGCTGAAGGAGATGCGTTTCCACTGGTGATAGGGCCAGAATGGATTTCCCAGAGACTCAATTAGGCAGATGTATGAGAAGTTACCTCCACCCTTGACTGGTGGAAGTTGTTCATTTTTCTTTCCTCTCCACGGCTGTTTGATAAATATAATTAGAAATTTAGTAATATAATTTTACTGGTAGTTACTAGGAGTTATAGGAACTATGCACACACATAATGCACACATACAAATGATAATGAACTTTGATAACTTATACTAAAATCCTTAACACATTGTAGTCTTATAGCTTTCTCCAAGATACAATTAATTGCTTTGTATTTTAGAATGACTTTTCTGGGAAGGTTCAGCTTTAGTGATGAAATATCTCTTCTTTGGAGTAAAACACCAGTTAAAACTGCAACTGTAATTTTCTTTTAACTGGTAATTTATAAAACTAGTTCACAATCTTCAATATTACTAAAGGAGCAACACCAAGCCAAATCTATTTGCTCTAATGTGCTTCCTGTAGCTTTCTTGTTGACCAATTTGGAAATGGAATGTTGAAATAAAAAGGCCTTTGATATGATCAAGCAGGTAATATCTCTATTATTACAACAATGAAACAATTTATAATAGTTCTAATCCAAACCGAGAAGAAAGCATCAGGGTTGAAAGGGTTGGGATTTTTTTGGTAGATTTGGTTTACTTGATCAAACTATTCATATACAGGTATATTATTTGGACTCACTACATTGGCATTTCAAGATTACATTTAGTTATTAGCCATTGTAGTTGATAATGCAAACCTGCAGCTAATTATGTATTATCGTAGATAAATCTTGGAAACAACTGGAGGAGGAAAATGTCTCTTCACAAAAGGAATGGATCTCTGAGCAACAGCCACCAAATATAAGAATGAGTGATTTATTGCATTCTTCGTTAGAGAATAGATAAACGTATTTCCTTTAGCACCACCTGGGTCTATGATATAATCCTTGTTCCACTAAGCCTGAGACTCCTAAGTCTGTTGTAATATCTGAGAATGGTGCTGATATGAATAACACTCATTTGGTCCACAAATCCCTGGTACTCAGACCTGGTAAAATCTTTCACATTTTAGCAATGGGATCATCCAAAAGGATACACCTACCCAGAACCTAGTTGGCTAGTAGCCAAATGTATGGAAATTGAGTGGACATTTTGTTAACCTGCGGTACAATAGCAAAACTATCTAAGCCATCCTAGCATTCTAAAGAACTTCTATTTGTATATACTAGTTGCTCATATAGTGAGCTATCTGCAGACAGGCTAAAAATAATATCGCCAATATCAGTCTCCATTCCCCAGATCCTGACCTTTCTATAAATTGGGATCTTGCATAAGTATCAGCCTTCCCTTTAGTACTGTTACCAGGAAGCATTGAACCTTTCTTGGCATCATCAAGAGATTCCTAAGTGGGAGGGATCCCTGTTAAGATTAACAGCTATCCAGAAGTATCTGTTGTGGGGCTTTCAGCTAGTATTTCAAGTCATAACCTGAGCCCTGATTGAACTCTTATGTGAGTCAGCTTGGAACTCCCTGCATGAAGTAACATTCCTTAGTCCCATAACTTTAAACATTGCTCTCTACCAAGAAAAAATTGTTATCTAGCCAAACATTATCATCATCATCATCTCTGTGCCTAGACCAAGGGTGTCAAAACTGACAGTCCGCAGGCCAGATGCATCATGTGCAGGCCATGCCCACCCCAGCTCCGCGAACGGGGAAAACATCGCAAAATGTCATGTGACAGCAACGTGGCGCTGCGAGTTTGACACCCGGGGTCTAGACCAACTTTCATGACAAAGATGAATTTAGTGTTTTATTGGGGTCAGGAAAGTATCTTTCCTTTCACTCAAATTCTAGGTTTAGTTAAAGAGGCATCAGCACAAATTGGATACCAGATTAATAATCACAATTTAATTGAGCAGAATAGAGAGATTTGGAGTTTTAGATAGCCATGTGTATTTCCTCAAATATCCCATTATAGCCCATTGGCTATAATTCCTATCTTATCATCATGATCTGCAGATGGATCAAGGATTGCATCTGACTAGTCTTGCCCAGGAGGTATTGTGTCAGTCCACCAAAAATGCACCATTTCAATTCCCCTAGGCAATAACGCTCCCTGGGAGATGTAAAAAATGAAGCCTTTTTTTTATAGTAGAAACAAGGCATCTAGCTCATTCTGGCGAAAGAAAGAAAAGGGAAAATATGAATGTATCATGGGCTCCATCAATATTTATATGTTCTTTACACTGGCTCATATTTGTTGCTACTTTTCTCAAGTGTTTCTAACTAAATTCTCTTTCTGGCTTCACATTCCCAAAACTAAAAGTAGTGTCAAAATCTTTCATGTCTTACATTGAGAATGTGGAGAAAGATGATGGAATACTGTGTCTTTACTGTTAAAAATGATCCAGCCAACAAATACATTAGTTTTATGTTTTGATCTGGACAATTCAAGAGCAAAGTTTAAAGAAATTGGTTTGTAAACATCTTGAAAACTAAGAGTAATAATGACCAGAAGTTACAATGATTTTTCCAAGGGACTAGTCTTGCCAGATATCTCATTTTTTTTCCTTCAGTAGATAATTGGAATGCTTTAAAATAACATATCTTGCTTTCCAAAATTGACAAAATTTTGACAAAATTCAGAAAAGGTAAATGCGATGCTTTTCATTTAGGAAACAATAATCAAACACACAGAATGGGAAATATGTAGTCTGGTCACTTGTGAAAAAGATCTTGGAATAATTATTAATTACAAATAATATTGGTCGGCGTTTTGATATATCTACAGAAAAAGGCAAATGCAGTTTAAGTTGAATCAACAGAACTATGGCCTTCAAATTATAGGGATAACAGTTCTCTTTATTCTGCATTGGTTGGATCTGCTTTGAGTACAGGTAGTCCTCGATTTACAACAGTTCATTTAGTGACTGAAGTTACAACGGCACTGGAAAAAGTGACATGATCATTTTTCATACTTATGACTGTTGTAGCATCCCCAAGGTCACGTGATTTACATTCAGATGCTTCACAGCTGACTCACATTTATGACGGTTGCAGTGTCCCAGGGTCACTTGATCCCCTTTTGCGACCATCTGACAAAGTCAATGGGGAAACCAGATTCACTTAACAACCCCGTTACTAATTTAACAACTGCAGTGATTCATTTAACATATCTGGAAAGAAAAGTCGTAAAATGGGGCAAAACTCCCTTAATACATTTCTCACTTAACATAAATTTTGGCCTCAATTGTGGTTGTAAGTTGAGAACTACCTGTACTATGTACTGTAGTGTTTGCCATGCTTTAAGAAAGTTTCAGAAAAAGTAGACCAGATTCATAGGACAACAGGAAGAATAATTGGAGGACTAGAACAAGGTTCTGTGAAAAGAGGTTGAAAAAAATATATTTTGTAATAGAAAATTGGGGTGGATAAGAATAATGAATTTAAACTACAGGATAGCAAATTCCCATTAAATATTACAAGAAAAAATGGAGTTGTTTGGAACTAATTATACAAAGAAGGGTTGGATTTGCCCTATATTCAGTATGTTCAAATATAATCTATATAACTAATGGGACTTCTTTAATTGGGATTTTAGGATGGACCTGAAGGCCACTTCATTTTGTATGATGATAATGTGCTGTTAAAATTTTCTAAAACTCTTGCGTATTTATAATGACAAACTTTTTTCTGATTGTTACTGCTATATTCTCAGTGCCTGTGTACTGCAGTACAATCATTTCTGGACCAGTAACAGTTTGTACATTTGTTCTGTACCATTGGAAGCAAATTAATGTCTGCATTAATAAAGTAACAAAAGTGCATTTGAAAAACTGGTTCTATAAATATGATTCAGTATGTTAAATTGGATCTTTTAAAGAAGTCTTCAAGTGTCTTTATCCTTTTTTTATAATAGATACAGTATTTTTATAAATAGATATCTAGAATCTTTGGATTCATTAACATGATAATTGTTTTATCTGATATTATATTTTAAATTGATAGGCTATATTATGCCTTCCACATATTATTTATCCAGTTTCTAACAAGCTCAGCTGGAATGGCCAATATTAAGAGAGAATGGGAACTTCACTAACATTTGGAGATAATAAACATTTCCTAATCTGTAGGTAGCTTGTTAACTTTTATTTTAAATCTCTGATCAGATTATTTGTTAAATAATTATGTATGAAATAAATAATATAGATATGACAAAGTAAGTTTTAGGATGCCTCAAATGTCACTATGCTACAATCAGAATAAGATGAAGATTGATAATGTGGGCACATATATTTCAATAAATAGAAAATATTATTTTCAGATACTTTTCTGAATGAATCGGGAGAAACTAATAACTGGAAATACTTCAGTGACTAAAATATGCAGAACTAAGAATCAGAAAGAATTAAAGGAGATGTAACAAGAACTAATGATTGATCAGGAAATAAGATCTGCAGCTGTGACTACCATGTATGACGGTGTTTGATAATCAAGTTCTTGACTCCTGACTGAGATCTAATAATAGTTCTTTTAAAAATTACAATGAGGCATAGAAAGAAGAGATCAAGTGACAAATGGTGGTGAGAAAGACTAAAGGATTATATTAGGCAGTTAAAAGGTATTTTTGTCCATGGAATTCTAACATATTGTTAATGTCCACAGATTCAGATATTAAATATAGTATAATAATGGTAAAAGCCTTTATTAGGGATTACCTTGTGATAAGACTGCAAGAAAAAATATTTTTCCACTCTTACTGCATCTGCAGGGCTGGCAGCTTTTTCAAAATGAACTGATCTGTGATCTGTGTAAGGTGGTGCTAAGGGAACATCTATAAGGCCA